CAATACATAGTTTCAAGGACGAAGTGCGAGCGTTCGGACGTCAACTGCAGATCCATGAGGAACTCATTGGGAGACACCCTTTCCCAGGTCCTGGTTTGGGTATCAGGATTATCGGCGAAGTCACCCGCGAGCGCGTCGAAATTGTGCGACAGGCGGATCACATCTTCATCTCCATGATCCGCGAGGCCGGGATTTATGACGAGGTTCGACATGAGCACCTGTCATCTGAGAGAAAGTTTACTAAACTATTTGCCAGGTCACCCAAGCCTACGCAGCGCTTGACACAAACAGAGGTAACTCCCTTTCTTCCATTCTACGAATTTAGCCTGATATCTGACTTTCGTCCTCCACAGCCGTCGGTGTTCAGGGTGATGCCAGAGCCTATGGCTACATCTGCGTTCTGCGAGCCGTGACCAGCTTGGATATGATGAGTGCCGAGCCCTACGAGTTCGAGTGGAGTCTTCTCAAGGCTATTAGCAGACGCATTGTGAACGAAGTTGACGGCATCGCGAGGGTGGTATACGACACCACGTCAAAGCCTCCAGGTGAGAGCCTCCAGTTTGCTTCTCCTTCGCATGCCTGTGATATTGACAGGCCGATAGGAACGATTGAGTTGGAATGATACTGCTCGCCGATCGAGTTCAAAGAAAAGTTTCCAGGCTGCCTTCCCAGCGCGGACCTGAGATGGCGTTCAGACGGATGGATTAGATTTGCCGAATAAAGGTTTATGTTTCTTCACTGCGGATTTGCGAAATAGGAGGTTACGACTTGACTCGACGCCCAAGCGACTTTGCAATGGTAGCCATATTGCCATCTGCTTGGTTCCCAGAATGCCTGAAGTGGTCGCACTACCAGCTCAGCCGATTTCACATTGACGTGTCGTCATTAGTGTCTGGTCTGCTCTCAGTCTGGAAACCAAGTAATCCAGGCCGAGCGAGGGAATACGTTACGTCCGAGTCTTGGTCAAGGATAGTACTTGCCTTACGTAGTCTCATGATTTCAATGATTATGTTTTTCTTTTGAGAATACTGGCGCTGGTCTCGTTAGGTTACACAACCCCTTTTACTCAGTTCAATGCCTCCGGCTTCACGACCGGCGATAAGGCTACCGAGACGGCTCTTGCCATGTTGCAATAAATGTAACCCGTGGGACAAAAACGTACTCAGAAAGATCTGCGTTGTTTAGCCAGATGGATGCCCAAGCCTCATTATTGAACGATAATGACTTCTGACTCCGGACTTCAGACCATATTGCGGATAGGGTGCCCATCTGAGCTGATGACAACATGAGATGAATTTATTGTGTGTTCGAAGGATTGTATTGTAAAGATATATACGTGATTGTAAACAGACTTTCACGGACCCTCCAGTTGAGTGGAAGCCTCGACTGAGCGTAACCAAAAAGCCAGCACATCAAGATCAAGAAGCAGCTTGCCCGTAGCCGTCGAACAATTATATTCAGAACTGCATCTGTAGGTCCTGGGTGGCCATTGATGGCATCGATATCCACCATTAGCGGTAGACCGGTCGACAAGAGAGGCATGGTGATGAGTGTCTATAAATTAGCTTGCATGATTACTGGTTATAAGCATATACTATGATTATCAGGGCGGGCTCTCAAGGAGACCAATGCATAGAGCGAGGTGCATGTCTGTGAATAGAGTGGCCAGGAACAGCAAGTGTTAATGAGCTGATGGTCCAAATGTGAGGCTATCTTGTTTCATGCATGGCTCTGTCACTTGTAAACTGAAGATTTGAAGATTCATATCATGGTAACGCAACGAATGGTTATGGGAACAGCATTCAGCTGGCCGTGTTGATGAATCTCCGTGTCCTCAAAATCATGGGGGTTTGGCAGAGTTTCATTTGATCGATGGAAGACAAATTGCCTGGATCTCCTGCAACTTTGAAAAGGTCGGTGAAAGACACACCGCCTACCCAACACCATCTGCACGTTCATGTGGTGTCTGAATATCTTGATGGGTTTGACGTTGGGTATCCATCGACTGAGACAATGTTGTGGCTTTGACAGCGGCCCGTTCCCTGACTCGATATACTGACATGACAACGAGTAATGTCTCGGTAGGCGCTTGGGACATGTCCTGGGAAACATCGTATTTTTTTTGTGATTGGATAGTCCAGGCGCAGACGGCAGTTACATAAATGTTGATACAGACACAATTAATTGGATGAAAGGGCACGCTCTGTTGTCACAAGTCAGTCATGCCATGAAGTTGAAGGTGATTCATTTCGTGATGGTTGTCACCCCTTACTGTAATTTTCAAAATCGATCCTTTCGGAAATCACAATAGGATGACTGCTTGTTTCCGTATTATTTCTTGCGACAAACGCGCCTGACAAAAATAGAATGGCCATACAAGAGCTTCTTTGGTGCACACAGCAACACACTTTGCTAAGGTTGGGAATGTGGCTGTTTAATGCCAGGAGTTTGCTTCTATTTGGTAGTTCTTTTTATGCCCAACTCAACTTGGGGGAACGCTCAGCTTACATTTTCTTATAAGACCATCGCTTTTAAAGAGTGAAATGTCAGATACCTCCAACAGAAACAACACCATTCTAAGCTCTTTATCAAAACCGAGATCTACACACATCGTCAATTTATTCTTGACACTGTCACAGGATATCAATAATCTGGCGAGGCTTCAACCATTCGCCACTTGGCCGGGTACAGCCTTGTTCGTGCCTCGTTTATTCCTGCTCATCTGGCCGCTCAAATCTGCATTCCCAACACCAACAAATATCAAAGACAGAGAGGAAGAGAGAGAGAAGCAAGTCGTCTAACTCAGCTAAGAGTTCATTCCCAGCAACAATATACCGAGCTTGATCTGTTCATGATCTTGTTGCTTCGTCGCTGCCAGTTATTCTTGTTGCAGCATACTACAACTAGCCATTTGCCACAAACAATAATAACAAGACTCGGCATAGAGTAAAACTCTAAAAAGCTAGACAACCCCAGGGCGAGACGTCATTGTCCGCCAGACACTACCCCCCATCGCGCCAGTCAACGCCGAAGCCAACGTTACCACGCCCAAACTCTTTCTCATAGCGTCAATCTCGTACCGATCTGTTCCATGGCACATGGTTGCAGAGCCTCATGATTCAAGAATCAGCACGGTTGAACGTTCTAGCTCGGGTCTGACAGCCCGCCTTGGCCTTAGTCTTGGACTCTTCGCCTCGGATTCAAGGGTTCACGAGGTCCCTGTCCCTGACATCGAAGCCTGAAAAGTCCATCTCCACCAAATCTACTCAGTAAACCACAACACTTCATAGATACGTACCTCAACATCCCACTCTAGTATCAACGACTACCCCAGTGGACCCGTTCGCAGCCCAAGGCCCGAACCTGAACCTGAGCCTGAGCCTAAGCCTAAGCCTAAGCCTAGGATCAAGGTTGTTCATGTGGTTAGGTTTGGGTATCTAAGTTTTCGGGCTCGTTGTTGCTCCCTAAGAGACCAAATACTCATAGGGTTCCATCACTCAATTGAGTTAGGAAGCCCGGTGAAAAGCCGAGCAAGGCTAAGCAAGTGCCACCTATCTCCGCTCAGACAAGGCGGGATATTGAATATTCTCGAGGTACCTACAGGCCAACGTCTGGTGTTGTTGAGATGATAAAATGTAGATGTTGTGAAAAAGGAAACTGTCTAACCATTGTGCAATTAGGGAGGCCCATAGGGTTACGAGAAGGCCAGACCGCAACAACCCCCAAGCCTTGACTAGGCACGGAGGACTGAAGCGTCGGACCCTACCTATCCTGCTCTTGGTGCTGACAATTGCATCCTGGCGGGGGACTCGCTCTCTGGCTCTTACCGAGATCATTACATACACATGTTCCCGTCTGTTCTGAAGACAACAATTGCATGGGAACTTTGACTGACGGCTGCTTTAACCTAGCCTGTGTTTACAGCTTGCAGTCTCCGTTCTCCACGCCACTACATCGATCGTCATCGGTACTCCCACAGCCTCGACTACTAATAAGTTACTGTGTGAAAGCCATCAGGGGTTGCTGGCGGCTAGTTGCTACCCATAACGGAGTGCAATAGTCTGCTGCTTTCTCAAGGCCTTGGTGTGTCGATGGTTTGTTCCGGAAGACGGACGGACCTTTGACTCTCCCAAAATATCATCAACTGTCCCTTCCCCCATCTTCTTCCATCTTCCTTCTTTCTGCAACTCTTCCCAATCTCTCCATAATTCTTGGTCCTTTTACTCTCTGGTATCGCCCCTCACCCCACCTTGACCACCTTTTTGGTGGTGGACCCTCGTACAAGAGAGAGCACACGCACAGAGCAGAACACAGAAGGGTTGGCTTTCAAGACGCCTTGTTAGTCCGATTGTATTCTCCTTCGACTCTATTCATGGCAGCAGTTACGACTTGTAAGTGCGTACTGGAAGATCCCGTTTTCGTACTTTAAATTTTTTGGCTGACTGCTCGAATTAGCTCCAATTATTCAGTTACTAAAGAGAATCGTCACCAATTGGCTTCTTTATTAGACAACTTCGGAGTCTCAGTTTACCTGTTAATCGGCGTACTCAGGTGTGGGCGATTCAGTCGCAGCTTTGGCTTTCTTTGACCAGAGAATTCCTCTCGCTGCTCTCTATCTTCAATTACAACTCTTGAAACGCTGTGTTACTGTTAACTCTGCGTCATTGCAATCAGTGTCATCCCATCTGAACGCCACCACCCCAGGCGGAAGCGCATCGATAATAACAAAAACCCATTGCTTGGCAAGTGCTTGACCACAAGGTGGTCGACCTAGCCAGACATTTTATTTTGCCGCAAAACGAATCCTGAGTCTTCGTCACTCTATCGGACATTACATTAAACCCTGCTATTTGCTCCCGGGTCCACGCTGACAAGGACTGACCAAGTTCAACCCCTCCTCACGTGGCCTTGGCTTCAAAGTAAAGGTAGACTGCCGTCATCCTGCACCACAGAACGATACGCCACGGCTGCCTCCGCCCAGTTCAACGCCTGGCGTCCCAACACTACCGCTTTTCTCCACGGCATCGCCCTTTGTCCGACGTTTCTCACGACTCGCCTCCGATTTCGTACCTTTGGGTTTTCTCTCGCAGCTGGCTCACAACAGCACACATAATTCGACAGCTCGGCGATCATATAGGCTTCAGAATCCTGTGTAGCCCCACGTCATCATGACGGACCGTCATCGCTATCCGTCCTCGGGACGAGCGGCCACCTTTGCAAACCATGCGAGAACTTCTCTGCCATCAAGCATTGGCTACACTTCTTTGTACGCTGGCGACATGCACGTCATGCCGACTTCGACCCGACAGCAGCCCATTTCAACAACACCGCGAGGATATGTTACAACTACTTCTACAACACCAACCCCCAACACCACCACCCGGACGTACGCCGTTACTCAGGATCCTCGTTCACACAGACCGACTACACGGGATGTCACACGTTCCCAGCGGTCCTCCACACTAGATTCTACTAGTCGACCCCCAGTAATTGTCATGACCACCCAGAAGGACCGCCCCAATGGTACGAGTTCTCATTCTTCCAATGCTCGCCCCGGAAGTCCCTTGCGAGATGACTACCGCTCGAGCGATGGGCAGTTCTATACACAACCTGCCTCGTCTATACGTTCACGCAGCACAGCCCGCTCCTATGCCGATCAGCCAGGAAACGACAGTTATGCTCGCAACAGCAGAGACCGTAGCAACAGCTTGGTACGCGACGACCCCTACCGCACCAGTCGCCATTCTGCTATATACCAGAATAACCCCCGCCAGAGCTCTAGTAATATCGACTATGGAGATGACGGATATCAGTACACTAATGCTGGTGAACTGGTTCGCTACGACCTCGATCATTCAGGCCCTGCGAGGACTCGGAGACGTGAGAGTTTCGACCGCGGCTACTACCGCCCGAATATCAACTACAACGCGGATCAGCGAACGTTCAACGTGGATACCAGCCCAGACTTGAGTCGCAACTACATAACTACAAGCACAGCCAGCGTACCGAACAATCGGCAATACGATAACCGGGGCGGTCCTCCGCCCAGTACACGAGGGTTTGACAAGATTCGAGGATACGAAAGCCCACGGGATTTCGTCCCGATGCCCTCCAAGACCCCCGAGCCGACCTTGGTAAAACAGGACACTCCCCTTGTTGCGACCACCGAAACCACAAGACGGCCTCGGCCAGTGTCATTGTATCAAGAGGGACCGCCCCGTTCTTCGCATCACGATGATTACTATCGGAGCCGAGAAGACGAAAGAAAAATGCGAGAAATTCGTGACCAGCCAGAATCCGAGCATACTTATGAGCCCGAGCGCGCATACGAGGCACCATACTTCCAAGATGACAGAGTCACTTCCCGTGGCTTCGGCATCCGAACTGACATTGCCGATGAACACGATGACCGCCGTGAACGCCGCCCAGAACAACCGAAAAAGCGATCAGATGAAGACTTGCCACGTGATGCTGATTATGAACGCGATGATCGACGCCGAGGCCGGCTTGATTCCAAGGACACTCGCCGTGAGAGACGTGAGAGTAAGAAAGGGAGTGATGATGACGAGAAGGAGCGTACCCGGTTCCGTGACAAAGTGGCCACTGGCCTGGGTATTGCTGCAACTGCTGTAGGCCTTGTGCCTGCCGTCAAAGACGACGACAAACGCGAGAAAGATCCTGGCAGACGTAAAGGCTCTGATGACGAGCGCGAACGTGAACGTGAAAGAGACCGAGATCGTGACAGGCGGCGAGATTCGATGAAGAGCGAACGCCCAAGAATCTTGGAGCGAGATGTATCGCGACAGCGTGATCAATCAAGGCAGCGTGACCAGGACCGTGATTCCAGAGAGACCAGCCGCCGAAACGGGGATTCTCGTAAGAGTACTGAAGCCATTATCTCGTCATCTGATTCGGACGAAGCCAAAAAGTCCACTCGGAGACGTCATGATTCGAATGCCTTCAATCCGAATGACACTTCTGAACTGCGGCATCTCAAGGACCAACTGGCAGCCTTGAAGACCACTGACAAAGAGAAGGAGAAGGAAACTCCGGTCGTGGTCGAAAACAAGTCACGGTCCTCTTCACCTGCCCGAGAAACAAGAGCAGCAACAGAAGCCCGTTCGTTGAAAGATCCCCGTTCACCACCCGATTCCAAGCCATCTGGTCCTCTTGAAGAAGAATTCCGTGGCCGCGAATCCCAGCAGATCCCCCCGGACGACAAACAAGTCCGTGTAGTATCGCCTCCTCGCGATAAAAAGGACGAGAAGCCTCTCAAGGGTATCTTGAAACAGCCCAAGGTTAGCTTTCCAGAGGAGCCAAATCCCATCCGTGAAGGTGTTGCACCTCACAAGGAGGACAAGAAAGCCAGAGAAGCACCTGCAGGTGCAAAATGGACCAAGATCAGCCGCAAGATTGTAAACCCTGAGGCTTTGACCATTGGCAAAGAGAGGTTTGAGGTCAGAGATGACTTCGTCATAGTACTACGAGTACTTAGCAAAGAGGAAATCCAAGCATATGCCTCAGCAACACAAGTCTTGAGAGGTATGTTTTAAATTTAGACTTGAGTCTTGGCTTGAGCTGGTGCTGATTGCGAAACAGAGAGACGTCGCCGCGACGATGACGGTGGCGATACGGACCGGGATCGTGACCGTGACGAGGATGACAGGAGAAGACATCATCGTCATCGCCGCCATCGGGATGATGACTCTTCAGATTACGAAGACAAGGACCGTGACCGTGACCGTGACCGTGACCGCGACCGCGAACGACGCAGGCGTCACCGAGATGAGGAAGAATACGACACCCGGTCAAGGGATCTGGACCATCATCACCATCACCACCGAGCTCAGCGAGAGCGCGAGCCCGTACTTGAGGCTTAGTGGGAGAAAGAGGGTTGAAATCACTATACTACCATGGCTGAATGTTGATCAAGTATTTAAGCGTTGCATCGAATGACTCTAATGGTAGGGTTTTTTTATCAGGTATATATTGAGCGTTACCACATCAGACACCAACAAGCATAAAAACTGGGCGATTTAGCGACGCATTCTGGATATACAAACATAAAATAAAATAAACTCCGGTTCAAATTCTTTTCTGCACTATTTGCTACTTCTCCGCCCCCATGCGATTACATCGTTCCGGGTGAAGAAACAAGAATCTCAACAGTCTACTCGCAAATTTCTCAGATCTATCTCGTTGGAACGGCACGAGACTGCCTTTGAGTTTGAAGACTGGAGAAAAGGGCTAGTGAACGTACGTCACAGCTTGGGTAGCAACATTTCATATTGGGTGCCTACAGTGGCAAAATGGTGAGGAGACGGGACTAAGATATGATGGAGAGGTTGAGGCTTTTCTTGGCTGCTAACTAAAGAGTTTGCGGATATCGTATTTGCTCTTACTGTCCAGGTCCATTCCATATTTCACGACATGATGAGAACGACCTGCAGGTTTGCAGCAACAAGTTCAGCTAGTTCCCTTCATCCTGGAGGACCCAGAAGACGCAATCAATCTGACGTCCGCTTCGTATGGTAACAGAAGTCGTGACGAGGACTATAACCTATGCCAGCGCCCGCATCAAGATGAAAGAGGCAATCGAGGCTTCGCACGGGAAGCTTCCTCGTCACCTTTATGCTGGCTTCCGTAGTTCCATTCCCTTCGCCGTCCAAACATATGTTCGAGCCATGAGCACCCATCTCCCCAAGCACAGGATGTTGTACGACCTCCCAGTCTGGGCTCAAGGCCGGTATCCGTGGTTTATCTGATACATCATGAACGAAGAAACCGTGTGTTTGACACCTCCACACTGAAGCATTGAACGTGATATTATGTGCAAGTATCCCGATGCGTTAGCACGGGTAGAGGCATGAGAGGAATGAAGCTGAATCACACCGACCCCTCTCATCCTTCTCAACAACGTCAATTTTTTTTACTTGCCCCGTCTACGGTGATTCGTTTGAACTCATCAAATACTGGCGATACTAAATTGGGCAGGGGGTTGGGGCTACCACCATATCAGGGTCCGATGGAGCGAACAGAAAGGTGAGATGCAAGAGACGACCATCTGAAGGGGTTTCCAGAACCTCTAGTGAACGAACTTGTTCGGGTCCTCTATGATAAGAAGGGGTATAGTAGGAAGTGGTATAAAAACCATTGTCTTATATCGTGTGCGGTGTTGAATCAACATGAGATCAGAGATGGACAAGCAGAAGCCGTGATGAAGAATCCATGCGTTTCAAGTGTCCACTTCCGGCTGTGGAAGTACCTACATAGATGATCTAGTCTTGTTCAAAGTACAAAAAGGGACTTATTAGCGGCTGCATAATACTGCCACGAGTCGTGACCGTTCCAGGCTGGCGCAAGACAAGCCATTTCGTGTCAAGCTATCAACTCTGTTTTATTGTTTGTCCACTCATCCCAAGAATAGCAATCAACAGCCACGTCCTAAGGGAGCAACGCCCAACCGCCGATCTCTGGCTTGATTGTGGCGGGGATAAAGACACGTCTAGATCTCCACACCTTCGGAGATGATTTAGACGGTGACAAAGGCCAGCCTACCGCGAATGGTCGCTGAAAATGCAAGTTATTGTGCCCCTTTCCCCATCTTATCACATTGCGTGGCTTCGAACGAATCTGGCCGGCCAATAATGAGCCCTATCGTGGGCTAGATGTTTTTTGGTACTAATAAATGGCATGTCTCAACATTTTTAAGAAAATGGCGGATTTTTTCCGCCACCGAATACATTTTCTTTGTAGAAGCAATAGCCTCAGCCATGATGCATTTGAAGATTAGCTTTGCGGTCTCTAGCATAAGATATCAGCCGCGTGGGGAAACAGGCAGCATGTCAGGGATCCCACGGGATATATTCAGAAACGACAGGGGTTGCCGTTCAAACCAGGTGTTGACAGGACCTGTAATCCCTACCATGTATCCGTAGACTGGGACGCAGATTCTCGTTTGCCATCGATACGGGAATGAGCCTCTCCAACTCGAGGCGGCGGGCCACAGCACATGCTTGCGGTTCTGCATCCCCATGATTGTGCTTAAAAAGATGTCAAAGGAACTGCTGTGGGATTGGAATCGGGTTTCAGGCTTCTCTCAGTCCATGGTAGTGGCTGGGTGGAACGAACGAATCATTAATGCATGCAAATGTACGGATTGGTATGAGTCGATGTTACTGACTCCAAAGGTTGTTGGGCTTCCCCAGCTGCCTTTCATACTGGTGGAGTCTTCATGTCAGCATGGCCAGGTTTTTCTACTCGCTATAGGACCCCTGGCTCTTATCAATTGTCCTTTGATTCATTGATGTTAGGGGGGATAACAGTCTATGTTCTTAATAATGGCGTTCAACCAGAGATATTGCAAGTGTCAAGGACATATCATATGCCTTGATTACCGTAAGCTTCTGGGTAACCCTGGTAGGTATGCCTCAACATCGGATTCCTGTCATCGCCCATCAGCACTTGGCCCAAGTTGACTCTGTATGCTGCTATATCGAATGAATGCTTTCTGACTTGGGAATATGAGGCAACAAAAGGTTGGTGGTGGTACGAACAAAAAGCTCCTGAAGGTATCTGTAACGCTGTCAATGGGTTTAGAATATGGTGTCGGTCTCCTTCTGTCTCTGCCTTGAGTCAATGGTAACATCGCCTCATACATCTGTATTTGTCTTTTACGCAATTGTTGAGCGACTTCTATATGAGAGGCTTTCTGAAGTAGTTGTGTATCTGCACATGAGATCAACATAAATCTGATATGAAGGTAACTAACCCGAGGCGAAGTGATTATGCTCCATATTCACGAATGGATATCAATCAGAAGGGATGGGCTGTTTTCTTTCAATGCCCAGGTGGATCCATTGACAACACCGGCAGTTGAGCTGGTGAATAGGAAGAGAGCCTCCCTGGTAGCTTGGGTCGGCTACATATTGAAATTTAAATTCAGTCACAGAGCTCCAGGAGGCTGTCTGTCAGTCTGTACGCGCAAAGTTCTCCCACGAACCACCGTGGAAGCGGAACCCCTTGCCGGTAATGTCGTCTCAATTAGTCTTTTTGAATACTTGTGCTGTATGAAGCTCCCCTGTCCGGGGATGACGGGCGCACCCCTTCTTTGCATCTTGGCTGTGCCTGGAAATGGCGGACCCTGGTCCAGCCGGACACGCAGTCCCAGTGTCCCACAACGGGCTGGTAGTCGCTGGAGTTGAGTGTGGGCTCACATCCCTGACCGACATTCCAGACGTGGGTCGGTAGGAAACCAACAAAGGACGTTACTGCAGCAAGGAGATTGAAGGTGCAAAGACTCGTCAGATAGAGTCGTTGGAGCGCGCGACACGGTATCATAGCTATTGTTGGTCTGGTCGTATACGACTCCGAGATGGGTATTGTAGGAGGACAGGGGTGATTCAACTAATCTGTGGCGTGTAATGGATATTCTTACTCGTTAGGGGGCCTTCTTCGAGGTGAATTTTTATGGATGTTGTCTTCTGATTCCCTAGGCCGTACGCATTACACGCTAGATATTATCGACGGCGCATCGTATGGATAGATATGAGGTTGGCCATAAATAGCCCGGTATGTTTGCTACCCTAGCCCTCGCTTTGTAAATAAGGTGTTTGTAATCTGGTTCATAAATTCCGAGATCATACCAGGATACGCTTTTAAGCGTTGAGCCCAGATGAACTGTAGGGCTGCGAGGATGGCTCAAGACATCGTCAACAGGTTCGTGGGTTAGCTTGCGGCGACAACTAGGCACAGCACCTCCCGGTCCATGATCGCACATCGCGGATAACAGTACCGGGTCAGGGTCTGTGACAGCCTTGTGCATGTTGACAGGTGGTGCCCATCAAACACAAACAAAGCCCATGACGAACGAGTGTCAAGAGATCGTGGATCTATGAAAGGCCCCGGCCAGATCTGACGATAGCGACAGACAGGGCTCAGTCAACTAAATGTATGAGGCTGTATAATTAGATTGCGTGAGCAGGCACAGCGTGCCATGGCTCTGAGGGAATGACATGCATTCATCAAGTATACCCAAAATACTATGAAGATGCGAATTCAGGCTGGAACTCCGAGATGGGCTCAATGTGAAGCCAACGTCCATTCTGATATGCTTCGGCTGTGCCTCGGAGTGCAGCGGGGAACACGGGTTCAGTGGCGGTAATGTCGTTGCGCTGTTTCTTGAACTCCAATCATGGACTGTAATGTAAAGCGATCATGTTGTTCTCGACAGTTGCGTCAATGGACCAACACCACAGGGAGTATGGAACCACACAAGTCAGTGCAGTACTTTGCATCCTCAAAGAGGATGCCACAATCGACACTAGAGCAAAGTGAGAAGGTCCCTTGAACTGCAGACTCGACATCGAGCTTGTAACGCGATGGCCGAGGTTGGTGACAACAGGTTGGTGACAACAGGTTGTCAGCCGTGCATGAGATGGGAAATGAGATGTTGATGAGTTCGACTATGGGGCGACTAAGCAGCGTCCTAAAATTAACTAAAGCCCAAGTTAGGAATAGTAACTTCTGCAGAGCAGGCTTCGCACACACCATCACTCCAGAAGTCCCTCAGGCTTTGCACCACTCCCCACTTGCACTGCATGAAGCATCGGGACGGCTAGTAGCATACATAGCGCTGAGCGTTGGCAGCTGGCGAAATATAATGACAAGCTACTACGTAGTAGGACAGCAATGGAGGGTGTCTCGAGAGTCGGTACGAAGTAGAGACAGATGGTGTTCCCATATCCTGAAGAGGCCTGGGCCGGTTCCTGCTATGAATCCGTGGATGAAAGGCTCTGAATGTTGATAAGTTCACTGCTGAATGTCGATTCGCAAGGCTGACATGAAAGTCGTCTCGGGGTGATGATGATGTCGTTGTCGTTGTTGACGTTGGTCCAAAACCTTGATGTTTGAGTCAGGAACAAGGCGCGGGAGGCTGTCCAAGTGCGGCACATGTTCCAAGCCACCACTTTGCCTCGGGTGGGGGCATCCTTCCTTGTAATTAAGTCGTTGGCGAAGGAGAGAGCCACAATTCGGAGCCG